ACCTACATTGAAATCCCCATATCTCTGGAAATCAATCGGATAGGGCCTTAAAAATTGAGATATTAAAAGACAAATAAGTTAAGAACCAACATCTAAAAAGATATTAAGCTTTCTTTAATACTTCTTGAGTTACAGCCATGCAAACTTTGGAGGGAAAAACACAAAAAGTGCGTTTCCCCTTTTTTGAATGGTCACCATTGGCATATAATGCAACAAAGATTGCTAAATCAACAGATTTTACTAACAGGCCTGCCATTCTCTGTAAAAATGATATAATGATGCTGCCATCTTTCTAAAGTCATTTTTACTCTCCTGTAATTTGGCTCCGAATCTCGGGTAGAAAGTTTCATTTTGACCCCCCTACACATCCATGACATTTAATATTTTGGCTTTCTTCTTCATTTATGTATTTCTTTAACCAGAAAAAAATCTAATCAAAATTACCCACATGCATTTAGATAATAGATAGGGTTCATTTTCATTTCATGCCAATGAAATGCACAACATTCATGCACTGTATGAGTATTTATTTGTGCATTTGCATGCTTGTGTAGAATGTGTTTCTGGGCTAAATGGAAAAAAATATACATATATGATTTTTATTATATATCTGCATGAAGATCCACAGCTAGAAGCCATCTTTTCTGTTCCAAAACCTAAACCAGGATATATTTAGAGTGTCAGTTTGCTATCTTCAGCCCTTGATGTGAATCTCTTGTTCTTTCATTCTCCAGGGGATGTTTGGACTCGGTCCCGAGCAGAATCCAGTCCCCTGCTCCCTGTTCATGTTTGAGATCGTTTGACAGTCCCATCACAGTAACGGCAATGAAGTGAAGTGTGAAGCAGGACTTCAGATGATATGACCGGACCTAAACAGCCATCTGTCCTCATTCACATCTCCAGCGCTCGCATCCGCTCTGTCTTAAACTCTTTATTAACATCTCTAGTGCTCAGAAAAGAGGTTGTCAAGAGCTGGTTAGTGATGATTTTGATGGAATAATTTAAACTTAGGATGACAGAAATAAAGTTTTATGTTGATTACAACAAGCCTATGTATTATGATACTTTTCTGATTCTGTTAAATATTCAACTCTCTTATAATCATATGACGTTTTGCTCATATTAAGAAAACTGTATTGCTCAGCAGATTAACTTTCATAGTTGTAGAGAAAATTACACATTTGTCAGTTGTTGTCATGCACTAAGAGGACTTAAAATCAGGGTTATTATTGTTAATTAAAACTAAGACAAAAAATCACTACTTGAAATAAAATAAGCATTAACTGAAATAAAATATATATTTTTTTAAAAACTTAAACTTATTTTATTTCAGCTAGATGACAAGGCAACATCAACTCAGTTTCGTTTAGTTTAACGACATAAATTAATCAATAAAAATAACTATGTATACATTTTTAAAAATTACAAAAACAACTAAATTACTAAAACTAAAATGAAAGTGAAAACAGAAAATATTAAAAATTAAATATAATTCAAAATATGAATAAAAACTATAATAGTATAGCATATATTAAATTAACACTGCTTAAAATAAAACCAAATGTGGATAGCAGCTTACTTCTTTTGTGAGTTCATACTGAATTCTGTGACTTCTGATTGTTGAATTTGATATATTGGTAAATAAGAACAAATTATTAGCAGAAACATCTGAGAAGTAGAATATAAGTGGAAAATCTCCATTTGATCTCATTGCTGTCTTGGGAAAATAATTGAGACATTAAAGAGGCCTCATAGTATGACATTAATCTGAATCCTGGCCTGGTTACAACATGCAACTAGTGATGCACATCACACATTTTACAGAGACGTTTTACACCTTCACAAATACTAACCTAAAAAATAAATGCAAAAAGTTGCAATGGCACTAAAATAACTGGTGTAGGATTTACTTTGAAATAGTGCTGGGCGGTATACCGGTTCATACCGAATACTGGTGTTTATTTTTGTTACTCATACCGCCCAGCACTACTTTGAAACAATTTTCACTCAGAAATTGCTAGTAAATTTCACAAATAATTACAAAGAAATGACAAGTAACATTGAATTAAACTTGAAATTTTGAAGTAGAAAGATTTCTAAAACATACTGCAATAATCTTTTAAAAATAATTTTAACAGTATGGTATTAGAGGTTTTATCACATCACTATCATGAGCACTAGTGCTAGGGATGCTTGTCTTAAACACTACTAATACTCTCATCCCAGAGAGAAATATCTGAAAACACTGCAACAGGCTCGGGATGTTTTCTGGCGTTTGTAGCTCGCTGTCTAACAAGATCAGTTCACATGATCCTTCGAGCCGGAACGAGAATAAACACGGTCTGACAGCAGCAAACGGCCCACGAGGACGTTCACTTCCAAACACTCGGCACGAGAAACACTCAATCCAACATCCAGATTCTGCCGTCTCACCTCAACAACACCAAGACAGAGATGCTCACATGCACAGATGTTTGGTGAACTAGAGCAGTGGCATCACAGATAAATAAAAGCCTATTTCAGAGTTTTACAAGCCTCCAGAAACAATCTGCCCCTGGTGAAAAATCTATTAACATATAATGAAATATTTGACATGTTGCTTGCAAAAAAAAGTCATTTGGTCAGAATACACTGAATACACTGCTTTTGCCCCATAATGGTGTAGTTACAACATCCACCAGCAGAGGCAAACTAACCCTACCCTACTAACTAGTCAACCCTAAACCTTGTGAGGAAGAGACTGATTAAAGAAGTTAAGAAGCTCATCATGGCACTGCTGTGAGTAATTGTTTGCCTTTCTAACACATCTGAAACTATTCCTAGAAAGAAAGCTTTCATGTTACTAATTTAACAAACAAGACGAGAAAAGCTGTGTTGCAAAATGCGGTCTCGTACAAGCCTTGGGCGACAAAACATTGCACTACACAGATACAAACTGATCATGTTTTTACTATGACTTCATATATGTGCATTTTCTTTTGTTTGGATAGATAGTGAATCTTGGAGATATAAACGTATGACAGCAAAGTTCATGCATTTGCAATTTTAGTTCTGATCATTTTTGAGTTGATTCATGGAGATCTGTAGAATTGAGTCGTTCAAATTTTAGATTCTCTCAGCATATTGTTGTACGCAGTGTTGGGGGTAACGCATTACAAGTAATGCAAGTTACGTAATCAGATTACTTTTTTCAAGTAACTAGTAAAGTTTATTTACTTTATGTATTCCAGTTCAAACAGTAAAGCATACTAGCAACACCAAAGTCATGGGCTTGAATCCTAGAGTAGGCAAGAGCTGATAACATGTAAATGTGTGCTTTGAATGCAATGCAAGTTGCATTGGATAAAAGTGGCTGCCATATGCATAAATGTAAATTTATATATGCATACCTACAAATATGACTAAGATCCTGGAATTTTTGAAAGTGCATGTGAAAGTATTCAGATTCAAAGATTAAGATGTAAATTGTTCCGTTTAACAGATTAAGATGTGCACAAGCTCTTGCATTTGGAATGAAATATCATTATTGGTCAATTTGAGGTGTTTGCATGAAGGCTTTTCATTCACTCTTAAAAATAAAGGTTCTTCATTCACATCTGTAGTTCCACGAACCTCCTTTATTATCCATGAAACCTTTTCATTCCACAAAAGGTTCCACAAAAATGGTGGAAAAAGGTTCTTCAGATTGTTGAAATGTTCTTCGCACTAAAAAAATGGAAAGATTCTTCGGGGAACCAAAAATGGTTCTTCTTAATAATAAAGGTTCTTCATTGGCATTGATGGTTCCCACGAGGAACATTTAATATCTATGGAATGCTTCTAAGGTTCTTTAGATTATTAAATGTTCTTCACACGACTACACTTTTTAAAATAAATGTTTTTGCAGTGATGCCATAGAAGAAGCATTTTTGGTTCCCCAAAGAACCTTTCAATGATCAGTTCCTAAAAGCATGAAAAACATTTTAATAATCTAAAAAACCTTTTCCACTATAAAGAACCTTTTATGCAAGGGAAAGGTTCCACTGATGTTAAAAGTTCCTCATGGAACCGTAGATCCCAATAAAGAGCCTTTCTTTTTAAGAAAAAGTGGTTCTTTTAAAAACTGAAAGATTCTTTGGGGAACCAAAAATGGTTCTTCTACACTCTTAATAATAAAGGTTCTTCGTTGGCATTGATGGTTGGTTCCATGAGGAACATCTATGGAACGTTTACATCGGACAAGAGGTTCTTTAAAGTGGAAAAACATCATTTAGATTATTCAAATGTTTTTCACACTTGCACTCTTCAAAATAAAGGCCATATTAGAAGCGTTTTTAGTTCCCCAAAGAACCTTTCAGTGATCAGTTCCTAAAAGAACCAATTTTTTGGTTCCACTATAAAGAGCCTTTTATGCAAAGGAAAGTTTCCATTGATGTTAAAGGTTCCTCACCCATGGATGCCAAGAAAAAGCCTTTATTTTTAAGATAAAAGTGGTTCTTCCAAGAACTGTTCAGTGAAAGGTTCTTCGGAGAACCAAAAATAGTTCTTCAATGGCATCGCTGCAAAAATCCCCTTTATGACTGACTCTTCACTTTAAAAATGGCAAAGCTTCCTCAGATCGCCCTTCGGAGAACATCTAGACGTGCTTCTGAGGGTGCCTATAATTCGCTGAAGGAACTTTAATATATCAGCTCCTTTATGGGATCCATTTTGTAAGTTCCTGCCATTTTTTGAAAGGTTCACTTTGAGTGTGCCGATCTGAGGAAGCCCAAATGATGCATCGAGTATATTTTCCTCTTTGCATGCAAATGCAGCGCGAGAGAGCCGGAGGAGGTGGGGATGCGCGAGGGTGAGAGAAAGTAAAAGCATTTCCTCATCAGCACAGCTTTACCTTCTCATTGTCGTCTAGGCTTTGTGCTTTTGCTCGCTATCTGCGCGTCGTTATCCGGCGATGCAACACAAATGCTGCGCGCGCAGCATCATTAGCTCGCATATAGATGTCAAAACGCCGCTCTTCTTACCTTGCCGTTGTGTGATGAGGATTTTAGGAGCCTCTCCTGCTGGGAAGAGGCTTTGTGGTGCTGTATGAGCTCAATCAGCCTCCCACTGCAGGATGCCGCGATGCATTTCTGCCATCTCAGAGAGATGATGCTCCAAGCCGCGCATCTGATCTCCCAGCATCCCTTGCTACCGGTGCCGTGATGATGCCATGGAGAAAACAAGGTACAATCCACATCTAGAGGAAACGAGAACAGCCTGCCTCCTTCTCTCTCTCTCGCTCTCTCCTCCAGTGTGTGTGTGTGTGTGTGTGTGTGTGTGGCAGCGTTACCTAGGAGACGGTTCACGCCCCCTCTGTCGCCGTGGTGAGCGCGTGATTTGAGACAGCAGGTATCTTCAGATGAGAGGAGGTGTCGCACGCTGATAAAGCGGTCAGCTCATGAATAATTAATTAGATGATTGAGGGTCATGACAGGCCAGAAGCTGAATCATCAAATATTTACCACGGTAAACATAGCTTCCAATAGAAATACCAGAAATTGCGCTAATTTATTCATCACAATTAAAAAATAGTATATATATTTGAGTGATTTAGGATGAATCAATTAACCTACATTAGGTTTTAACAGTATTTTAAGTCATTTTAATGAGTCAGATCAGATACAACCCGCTCTGTTTTTACTTTTACGTTGTTTTAACTTAACAACTGCACGTAAGTCTGCCGTTACTAATAAACGAACGCTTTATTGACGTTTCAGAGTCAGCTCATGAATAATTAATGAGATTATAATGAGGGTCATCACAGGCTGGTTATGTTATGAAATATCAGTCGGATGACAGAAGATGAATCATAAAATATTTACCGCGATAAAACATAGTTCGCCGCAGAAATGCCAGAAATTGCGCTAATTTAATCATCACAATTAAAAAAACAGGTCTATATATGATTTGAGTGTTTTAATATGATGAAATCAAGCTATGGTATTTTAATGGGTCAGATCATGTACAACCCGCTCTGTTTTTACTTACTGCTTGTTTACACTTTTGAAGCCTGCCGTTAATAATAAATTAAGGTTTTATCAACGGTGAATAGTTGAACGTGTCAGAATCAGCTCATGAATAATTAATGAAATTATAACGCGGGTCATCACAGGCTGGTGATGCTATGAAATAACAGATGGCAGAGGATGAATCATCAAATATTTACCACGGTAAACATAATTTCCAGCAGAAATATCAGCTCTAATTCAATAATCATAATTTTAAATAACAATAATTATTTAAATGTGATTTAAAATCAACCTAAATAACTAATTTTGCCAGCATTTTAATGATTCAGATCAGGTACAAATGACTCTGTTTTTAATTCTGCTTTGTTTTAATGTAACAGCTGCATGTTTTGACTTTATTTGCTGGATAGTATGTTTAATAGTTTTTAGTATTTTTATATTATTTAGTATTGTATATTATTTGATATCAAGTATCAAAAGGTGGACAAAAGGTTGTGAAATATTGAAAATATTTTTTATAAACTATTTATAGAATATTTAATAAACTTTTATTTCAAACTGCTTTGAAAATCAAGGTTTTTTTAAAGAATTTTAATCCGGCTTTTAATAAGACTTTCTTCAACACTTCTGTACTTTTAGCTCCCCACAAAATTAATTTTAATAAAAAAAAAAAACGTTCATGACATTTTAGTTTATCAGGTTAATCGTGAAGTTAGATCATGACAATACCCAATAATAAGCAATAGCTTTAAAGTGTTCATCTACAACCACGAGACATTTGAATTTAAGAGATGTTTACATCTCAGTTAGTAATAAAGTGCAAAGCAGATGCTGTTTGACCTCATTATGAGCTGAAGTCCCCTGAGAACAGCTCTTGATGTGATTCAATGCTCGTCTATGAGCACGTGAGGAAACAGTCATTGTTAATACATCAGATCAAATGTAAAACTGCTGCAAAATTCCCTAATAAACACATCGTCTGTAGTGTGACTTGCTCTGCTGCTTTGCTCCTTTAAAGAGCTTTTGTTGCGCAGGGCAATTTAAGTCCATCCCGAAACAATGACGCCCAATGGGCTTTTGTTTTCTGTCTTTAGTGTATTAATAGAGCTGATGATCCTCCGTTCACTGAAGGCTTCAGCTGATGATTTTGGCATCTGCACCCAGAAAATACAAGTCTAACCTCACAATGCATGTGTGCTAATTGTTAAGCGCTTGGCCAATATTGATCGTTTATGTGGTTATGAATTAATTGTGTTTTTAAGTAAAATCATGTTTTTTAATTACTGCTGTAATACAATAAAGTTAAGTGAATTGTAAAGAAGGTCAGGGCATTAAGATTAAAAACAACTCAAATTTAGAATTAAAATGCAAACAGAAAATACCAAAATAAAAACTAAAAAGTGATAATTAAAAAAATGCATTTTCATTTATATATAATATATTTTATAATACTAAAATAACGGAGGGGTTTCCAAAACTAAAGCCATTAAAAAACATTTTCTTTTTCATTTACTTAAACGGCAACTGGAATAAAATATTTAGGAAAAAGCTAGTTGCCAAAGGCAAAATTTGAGTTTAACTTCAATAACTACAACTGAAATAAAAACAAATAAAAATAGACATTATAACAAAAAAGCTAAAAATGACAAAACAACAAAATTACTAAAAACTTGTGTAAACACAAAAAATAAAGTGAAAATAAAAACAAACTCAAAATGATTAAAAACTATATATTCTTAATATATAAATGAAACCAAAACCATTAAAAAAAAAAACTTTACTAAATATTTAGAAAAAGCTAGTTGCCAAGGCAGCATTTCTCAATTTAATGTAAAGTACTTAACTGAAACAAAAATGAATAAAATGTATTGAATTGCACATTAAACTTAAGTGTGTCTCACCCTGCAGCGTTTGTGCAATAAAAGACCATTATATTCCACATTACCCTGTTTCAGTTACAAATGACATTGAAGTCCATGCAAATAAACTACTTTAGAATCTTCTTCCAAGCAAACTCTGCTGATAGTGTGTGTGTGACTGCAACAAAGAGCAAATGCAGTTCCTGAAGGCAAAGTCCAAAAGCAGTTTGATATCATGGAACCAGTTGCATTTATTGAAGCGTTAATTACCACATACAAACAAATGACAATATCATGCCTATTCATATAAATGCTTCTCTTGCAACATACAAAAAAAATTCCAAAACAATGTGGCGTTACAAAAAGTATGTATATACAAAATAAAAAGTATGTACAAAAACACAGGAATGGTTCTACACAACAAATAATGACCGTAAGCAGCCAAGACTGCTCTCTAGATAGAAAGCGCTTCAGTTTGCATGGGTTTCCACAGGTTTGGGCTGTAGTTTGACAGCGTGTTTCTGTCGGTAGCGCTCGGCCCGCAGCTCCTCGAAGCAGAACTCGCTGGCTCCGCTGTAGAGCAGCTCTCTGCAGTACATGCTCTGCTCTCGACTCTTCCCGTCCTCCTGCGTCTGGAGCTGCATCCGCTCCTGCAGCATCTTCAGCGGCGTCTGCTCCGGCCTGCAGGGCTTCCTGACCGACAGCACCGAGTTCACCGCCGGGTCGATTTTACACGGAGTCCTGCAGGAAGACATGACGGAAATGAGGTCAGTACACTGAAACGATAACTTCAATTATAGAAGATCAATCATTAGAAGTCGACGTGAAATCAGACTCATCCTATTTTACTTTGTTAATGCATGTTCCTCGTCTTACTGTGTGCGATAGTGCAGTGCTATTAGCATGAGCTAAAACCATTAAAAACACTTGCTACTTAAAATAAATATTAGCTTACGTAAAATATAAAAAACTTTAGCTGCATCCCAAATGACGCACTATGTACTCAACCATGTAGTGTATGAATTATATATGTTTATTTTGTCATTCATAAACGGAGTCTGATAGCCCCTTCACTACGTAATTAAATCTGCGACAGTTGAGTCAAGTGCATGAAGTGTCCAACATTCCACACTTCGTTTTTTCGGTTAAGTGCACTTTTTATTTTTGGAATTTTCAGTGAGAACGCACTACTCGCACTATTTATACTACAAAACGTCATAGAATAGTGCATAAGTACGCGATTTGGGACGCACATTTTAACTTATTTTAACATTGAACAATAATCATGGCAACATTTCTCATTTTTGTTTAGTTTAACTAGTACTAAAATAACTAAAACAGGAATAAAAAATTTTTTATATAGACAAAATAATACTAGTGAAAATGACAAACATGCAACAAAAATACTAAAACTTAAATTAAAATGCAAAAATAAAATAAAAACTATATTAATTAAAACTATATATAACTTTAACATAATATACTAATGATACTAAAATAACATTGGCACAGGGGTTTTCAAAACTAAAACCATTTAAAAATATTATCTTTTTCCATTAATTTGAAATAAAATAAATGGTAACTGAAATGAAATATTTTAAAATATTTTGAAATTAAAAAAAAGCTAGTTGCTGAGGCAACATTTCTCATTTAGTTTAATTAAGTGTTAAAATCTAAAGTGTTAATATCTAAAACTGAAATAAAAATGTATAAATTCAAAATAATACATATATTTATATTCAATCCTCCAATCTTTTAGATGCCACGGACCCAAAATATGATCATCCTCATCTTAAAGTTTAAAAGACATCTTGTATAGCACATATAAAGCATATATAAAGTGTGTGTGTGTGTGTGTATATATATATATATATATATAGGCCAAAAAAAATTAATATTATAAACATGTATAATTTGGAAAATATTTCGTTTCTATTAGACTACATTTATGGAATTTTATTATAATACTTATTTTAATCAAATTTTGAATATATTCGTTGTTTTTATTTACTTCTTAATAAAATCAAATAACATATATATATTATTATTTTTTCTTTTCCATAGAGCCCAGCCCAGTTTAAAAACCCCTTCATTAGTGCATGTTCATATAAACAAATGTTATCATAAAGGAGCAAAAACACAATCTTCCATGCGCTGAGAGACTCGTCATGCATCTCCTGATCACACTCACACAGCGGGAGGCTGGTCGTCCTCTTCCACAAACGGCTGGAAGCTGGGTTTAGGAGGTGGAACGGTGACGCTGAGGCCCGATCTGGACTTCAGAGGCAACTGGAATTACATACAGACAACATTTACCTCATAATGAACGTTGATCTGTCAGATAACAGCCTCCGTTCTCCTTCAAACGCCTCCAGACACAAAACAGGTCAGGTAACTGGTTAAACGAGTAAAATTAGCATACTTCCCAGCACTCGTACCTTCACGTTGGTCCACTTCTCAGGCTTCTGCTCGTTCTCTTTGGCTCTGGCAGCAGGTGGCGCTGTCCAGATCTCAAATTTGGGC